CGAACTTCAGGGTACTCGAGTACATAACTGCAGTGCATATTTCCGCAGGAGAAAAAGTTAAACCAATTTTAAGGAGACTCGTTCACGTTAATATTGTCTATCTATAAATATATAGAGATCATTTTCAATATACAGAGACAACATTTCTGTTTGGAGAAAACATATGATGGAAATGAGACCCTTTCATAATATTATTTACCATTTGCCAAATTCAAAGGGTAGTGGGAGAGTGTTTATTGAACAAACTTAGAATAAAAAATAATGCAGCAAAATATCACATTCAAAAGTAATCATATTTCTCCTTGGCAATGTTTTATTTTCTGCTGTTTAAACTTTGCTGATCGACGTATCTTGATGGAAGTCTACATCTAGAAAAGTAAAGATAGTAGCTGTCTTGCTGTTGCATATTTCTGGTTTCAAATGAAATATATTGGCAGGACTCTCTGAAACATTTCTCATTATTTTCCTTGGAATGTGTCAATATGGCTCCGATATGACTCTGCCTGAAAACCTGTGGACTTGTTTATTTCCAAATAATCTCCATACCATTGTATAAATTGGACCATTTTGAATTCTCTTTGAATCATGAACAAAAACAAAGCGTAAACAATCTTAAGTTTTACATCCTGCTAAGTCCTCAGTATCCCCTTATTGCAGACATTACCCAGACCAGACTTTCTTGAACGACTAAACCCACGATAGAAATTATAGATTGATGTTAAATACTGTCTGTCCACACTTGATTTGGCTATTTTCCTGTCGTCGTAACTGCTTTCTCGCCCTTTGTTCATTGTGCTTCAAGTCGCCGGTCAATGATGAGACAAGTCCGGAAAGCTGTTATTATACATGAAAATTCTCTTTTGCATTTCAGACGCTAAATATGTGCAAATTACCTTTCCAAATGTTCACAAAAGAACTGTAGGAGCCATCATTAAGATCGGGACGAAGGGCTAATAATGTGCCCTCAAAACTATTTTAACGTCAGAGAGATATTTCAAATGACTGGACTTTTTAGAGCCACTGGGGACAGAAAACAGGAGTAAAATAAAAACAAAAAAACATTGAACATTTACAAATCACTGGGGTTCATCGCACTAATACAGGGTCATTTAAAAAGACTGGACTTGTGAAGGTACAATTGTGTCCTTTGTTCTGTTCATAATCTCAATATGAATCCAAACAAGATCGAAAAATTGTAGACTGAATGTTTTAGAGGTTTTACACCACAGCCAAAAGACAAAAGGCTTATAGGGATATAGGAGGATTTTCTACTTCCGGGTGGATCATCCAGACTATTGGTCCTCCCAATCGTCAATCATTCTGGTGGTACTTGCTCGTCAAATAAGACCAAAAAGTTTTGTTCAAAAAGTGGAAAGAGCGGTTCTTTCAGAAAAACTCCTCCTATTGACCTCTAAGATAAAGTTACATGGCATTCTGGGTTATGCATTATAAACATTCAGTTGTCATGCAACTCTTGGAGAAAAACAAATTTACAATGTTGTTCCCAAACTGAAGGCAGAGCTGAACACAAATAACTGACAAATAACTGTCATTGGTTGTCTGCTGTCTGGGGGCGACAGTAGCTCAGTTGGTAGAGCAGTGGCCTTTGAGCCTGGAGGTCGTGAGTTCGATTCCCACCATGGGACCTACTCCAACTGCTCCCACTGATGTGTACTGTCATTGTGTCCTTGGGCAAGACACTTAACCCTACGTTGCCTGAAGCCCCCGCTGAAAGACCAAGGCTGTCTCACCGCTGACGGAGCAGCCATCTTCCTGTGGACTCACCCCCTGCAGAAGATCAGCGAGAGACTGGTGCTATGAGCATTGGGGGCAGCTCTCATTGCCACCCCCCTGACCCAGAAATGGACAATAAAGGGCTTGAAAATGAATGAATGAATGAATGGTTGTCTGCTATTCTTGACAACCACTGACACCTGTGGCTCACTGTTGATATTGAGCTAAAACTATGATAGAAAATATGTATATATAGACATAAAAAAAGACTATATCCAATCCATGGAAAATGATATACTCAAACATGCGTGAGAGTCTCGAAATACCAGAAACATAAATTAGAGATATTATAAGGATGGCCCAAAGTTTATGTACCTATATAAATTGCATAATATGACTTCATATGGACGTGGAAATCAAGGATTTTCATGTAATATATATTTATTTTTTTAACATTCAAGTATTTCTCGGAAACTGTGGTGGCGGGCCTCGCTGGTGCTTGCATTTGAAAAAAGTCTCTAAAACCTTTTAATTTTAAGATGTAGCGAATACAATTTTAAGTGACTGACCTTCACTGTAAGCAATTCTAATCTTGTGATACCCCTCTGTCTTAAGGAGGCAGGCAGGGATTTACAACTACACTGAAAAAAGTTAAATGTTGGCAAGATTTATTCACTAGAAATAACAGACATAAAGCAATTTTTTTAATGGCAAGTTTTTGGTTTTTTTGCTGTTGTTTTGAATGTAATTTTTTTATTTAAGATTATTTTACTGGTTTTAAGATACTTCATAATCTTATTAGAGATTTAAAGAAAATCATTTAAAAAGTAATAAAAAGCTTTTTAAGCTTGTTTAAACTTTTCTGGTGAAATAAAATAAGTATGTTGCTACATTGATTTGTTATGCTAGAAAAAAAGGTTTAAGAAAAAAGTAAATCATACTTGAAATGTTTTTATACATGAATCAAGTCATTTGGGGCTAGTATTATTTTCTTTTTTTCAGAGGCCTTGTCAAATCATATTTTTTTATTTATCTTGTATTTTTTCTTATTTTTTTAAGGGTTGTTTCCCAATATATACAGTAATACAGTAATGCAAGATTCTTATCTCCAATGCCACACAGAGGACCCTTCTGAGCATAAAGGGGACAAACGTGGTGAACTGTCTTAAAAAATCTTAAAAAACACCTTCAACCAAAGTGATGTCTTCGATTAATACATTGACCGACACATACGGCTTAAATGGACATTATACAACTCCGGTGGTTCACTTTAAAAAGTTATAATTGCTGCACTTAAAACCTCAAAGCTCGGTCGCGGTCCAGGATATTAACGTTGGCCATTTGTCGTGAATATATTAGCGCTGACAGTTTGATTGAAAGCTAAAAGGTGAAGCTACGAGTTAAAGCGGCGTCTGTACGTGCGGCCATTCATCTTATTTTCTTAATCGTTCATTACTCACATTGTAAAGGTTACTAGGAGTTAAACTAGGAGAGATGGACTGGATTGGACTTTGGTAATTTAGTGATTAGTTGCAGCTCAAGATTCAGTTTGGGAGCAATTCATCAGCTGGATCAGTCCTGTTTCCTGAGTGACTATTTGATAATCATTTTCTTTTGAACAATGTCAGCCAGAAATTATAGAAGGAAGTAATAGTAGTAGTAATAATAATAATAAAAATAAGAATACAGTATTTGTGGTGTTATTAATATTCAAATAGATGGTGGAAGTGTAAACATGGGTTAACATGGGAAACATTAGCTTTGTTGCGATAAAAGATTTTCATTGATTAATAAAATGAATACAACGCAGCTGAAACACAAAAATCATATATGCAGTTTATACATGGTGCCACTTCAATTCCAATTTTGGAGAAGTGTTTTGCCCGTTGAACTGAAGAAGCAATAAAGCAGATGTCGAATCATGTGCACAATGAAGTCTTCCTCATTTTGCCTTGAACGATAGAATATACTGATAAGTACATGTGATGTTATGGACATGCAGCTAACCCTTTAGGCGGCAGAGATTTCCTCCCCACCAGGTTTCATTTTGACATCTTAATTTCTTAATGATTTAAAAGCAAGAAGAGATAGAGGCTTAATGTAAGTTAGAGAAATTATAAGAGTGGCCCAAAGTTTATGTAAGAATGAATGAAAGTGGGCGTGGCAATCGTGGATTTTCATGATATATTTTTTACTGACATACACAAATCATTAGGACATGAACACACAAACAGAAATCGCGCTGTACCACACTCAAGGTTCAGGGAAATAGGAAAAGAGTAAATAAGTAAGTAAGTAATATTTATTTATATAGCGCCTTTCACAGACCAGAGTCACAAAGCGGTTTACAATCGTGGGCATTTGTCTCTCACTCCACACAGAGATGGGAGCGAGGCCAGTACAGGAGGGACATGCCAGAACTATTGTACATGTTTTTAGTGGTAGGGGAAAACCGGAGCAGATACGGGGACAACATGCAAACTCCACTCAGAAAGGCCCTGTTCCGACTGGGATTCGAACCCAGGACCTCCTGTTGAGAATCAAAAGTGCTATCCACTTAGCCACCAAAGAGAGTATATCATTGTGGCAGGAGTTGTAATGAATGTTGACATCCTGCTTGACACTATCAGTCGTTTTAAACAGTACCGTAGATTGTGGACTTAAGTCAACCATGAAGCCTAGAGGGTTAAAGGTATCTATGGGGTATCTATCTTAAAAAATAAAAAATAAAAATGTTTCTTGTAAAAGCAACATTTTGTAAACAACTCAGACCACAACTTTCTTTCTTCACACTGTACTTATAGGAAAGAACCTTGTGAATCACTAATTGACACTTTGGGTTGAAATCTGATTGGCTGAGCTTTCTGCATCCTCATCCAAATACAGTATGTTACAGCGGCCACAAAGTACATGTGAAACTAAATAATGAGTGAGATCCTAAAGGGCTATAGTGAGATTGGTTTTATTGTAAATTTCTAGTTCTCATGGTTTGAAAGCTAGGCACCCTACTAGCTTTGCGTTCCAACTCTACGGTGCAATCTCGTTTTACAGACGGATTTTACAACATAACTGCATTTCTCAAATAGATGAAAAACATCTGGTACGGGCCCTTTAACCATACCACAAAAGACAACCATAAAAAAACAGCAAGCTCGGTGTGGTCGCAGCTGAATCTACCATCCTGCCACTACTTTCCTTTATATCCCATTCTCTGCTCCCACATCCCCTTTCATGTTTTGGGTTTTTTTTCCCCCGCAGGCCCTTACCGTGGTCTTCTGACACTGAATGCTGCTGCTGTTGAAGCGCAGCGCCGGGACACTGTAGCTGGTCCCCTGGATGTGGAAGATGCACTCATAGTTCCTCTGGCCCGACTGAGGCTGAGGCAGGTTCTGAGCCAACAGGGTGATGGGACGCATGACTCCGGCCGGGATGTAGATCTGAGTGGAGGGCAGGATCTGAGGGCACTCCTGTGAATAAAACAAACACACACATCAAGATTCCAGGCTTCTGCAGAAAAAGAGGAGCCAGGGGTGTGTGAAGGGAGAAATATTTGCACTTGATTCATCCAACTCCTTTTCGAACCAGGTACGGGTTATTTGTTGTTTATATTGATATATTTAAAAATATGTTTCGAAATAAATAAAATTAAAACATTAAAAATATTTGTATTTAGCCACCACTGCAACGGGCTGTAAACTGCTGCAAGGTTTTGATTATGTTTTTTTTTTGTCATAGCAAAAGATAAATTGGATGGTGGCATGGGTGTTTTAGCTGTAATGCGTTGTCGTTTGTTCCCAAGACAATTATCCAATCAGATAATCAAATGAGCTTTACGCAAAATCAGAAATAGTGCCTTTCTCTGATCTGAATGAAATTAATTCTGAAGGTTTTGGCTTTTTCTGAAAATATTAAACAAAATATGAAAAATAAAAGCAGGTTGACAAGCAAAACAGGGACAGGACTATCTATAAGACTATGTGTACTGACTCTCAATATGGAAATCAATACTGTTTGAGCCATGACTAGAACCAGGAAGTACGATCTCATTAGTCCAGTCCTCAGGTCTCTGCTCTGGCTCCTGTGGCTCAGAGAACAGACTTTAAAGCAGCTCTGTTTAAGTCTACCCATGGCCTCGCACCAAAGTACATCTGTGGTATGTTGAGATATGATAAGATAAGCGATTCTTTTTCCGTCTTTTTCAGTGGGGAAATGTCAATGTTCCAGCGCACATACAGGACAGTAGTAAGAGCACACAAAATATACAAAATAAGTATTAGCTGTTTCTTAACTTGCTGTAAATGCTTGAATACCAGTATATATCAAAATCTATATACAATACAATACACAATTTACAATACAATTTATTCTTGTATAGCCCTAGGTCACAACAGAAGTCATCTCAGAGGACTTAACAAAACCATTGAAATCACCAACACAGGTCAGAGAATCAACAGTTAAAACACATGAAGAATACAGTATAAAGCACACACAGAAGAAAATGTCCATACATGTTGTAGAATGCTAAAGTGTCCTGATCATCACCAATCCTTTCTGTTGGACACTAACTGTCCAACAAGACCCTCCTGCATCGACAAGGAAAAACTCTTAAAAAACCCAGTGGGAAAAAGTGAGAAACCTTGGAGGAGAACTAGGGAAACCCACAGGGAGGGAGACCCATATGAGAAAGGGATCCGCTCCTCCGGACGGACAGACTAATGATCTAGGACCTAAGCTAGCTACAGAACGTGGACCAGTGGCCGCTGAACGTGGACAGGTCCGGTGCAGGACCGAAGCACTCCCAGGCTGGTCGGGCGGGGCAGTCCGCAGGTGTAGATGGAAGAGGCCAGGCTCAGAGATCCCGTCATCGTACCATGAAACAGACAATGGGACAACGGGTGAATAGCAATGAACAAACTACAGTCAGAATCCTAAAAATGCTAAACAGATAAAGTAGGAAGGAGGAGAGGATAGTGCTCAAGTTACCATACTTCTCCCAGCAAACTGACTCCCTATGCAGCTTGACTAACACTCTGAGGAGTTTAACCTTCTCCGAGTCTTACCTTCCTAGCCATATGCTAAACTAAAGAGGACTGTTTTAAACCTAGCCTTGAATAAAGAATAACATACAGCATAATATATAACATAATATACAACATAACACAATACATTATTGAATAATATATAACATAATATATAACATAATACAGCATATATATATAATATATACACTACATATTATATATTACCTAATTATATGCTAAATTAAAGTAAAGTGCTTTAAGCCTGGCCTTGAATGTGGAGACCGTATCTGCTTCCTTAACATAAATGGGAAGCTGATTCCACAGTAAAGGAGCTTGGTAGCTAAATGCTCTGCCACCAACAGTGACCTTTGAGACCTTAGGGACCACCAGACGTCTGGCGTTTTGTGAGCGCAACGCTCGACTTGGTTGATACGACACTAACGTGTCTTGGAGATAAGAAGGAGCCAAGCCATTTATGGCTTTATATGTTAAGAGTAGGATTTTAAACTTTATTCTGTACTCCACAGGGAGCCAGTGGAGTGATTTTAACACCGGAGTTATGTGCTCCCTCCTTTTGGTACCTGTTAAGATCCTAGCTGCTGTATTCTGAACGAGCTGGAAGCTCTTCAAAGAGGCTTTAGGGCACGCTGCCAGTAAAGCGTTACAGTAGTCGAGCCTTGAGGTGACAAACGCGTGAATGAGTTTTTCCGCGTCACTTTTAGGAAGGAAATTCCTAATTTTAGCGATGTTCCGTAAGTGGAAGTACGCCGTTTTAGTTGCTTGGCTTATATAAGCCTTGAAGGAGAGTTCTTGGTCAAAAATGACTCCAAGATTCCTCACAGTGTTACTGGGTATTATACTGACATTATCGAGAGTAACCATCTGGTTAGTGAGGGAGTCACGCAGGCGCTTCGGACCGAGTAGGATCACTTCTGTCTTCTCCGGGTTGAGAAGTAGGAAGTTAAGAGTCATCCACATTTTAAGGTCCTTTATGCAGGCACTGAGCTTTTCTAGCTGATCTGTCTGATTAGGCTTCATCGACAGATAAAGCTGTGTGTCATCTGCATAGCAGTGGAAATTAATTCCATGCTTTTTAATAATGTTTCCCAGTGGCAGCATGTAGAGAGTAAAAAGAATCGGTCCGAGTACCGAACCCTGCGGCACACCGAATTCCACTCCAGAATAAGGCGACGAGTCCTGATTCACATTGACGAAGTGATATCGATCTGATAAATAGGATTTAAACCAGCCAAGGGCTGTTCCTCTAAGACCTATATCACATTCTAGCCTCTGCAGTAGAATGCTGTGGTCTATTGTGTCAAATGCAGCACTAAGGTCCAGTAGGACCAGCACTGACACTTGTCCATTATCGGCAGCTAGTAGTAAGTCATTTGTGACTTTGACTAGTGCCGTTTCAGTGCTATGATGAGCTCTGAATCCTGATTGAAAGACTTCAAACATATCATTTTCCTGCAGGTGGCAGCGGAGCTGCTCAGCTATAAGTTTTTCCAGGATTTTTAGATATAAAAGTGAGGTTCGAGATCGGTCTGTAGTTTGTAAGTATTTCTGGGTCCAGGTTTGTTTTCTTCAGAAGGGGTTTGATTACCGCGGTTTTAAAAGCTTGTGGGACATAGCCACATTGTATGGATGCGTTTATTATATTTACGATAGGCTCAATTATCAAAGGAAGTATGTCTTTGAAGAGCCATGTCGGGACTGCGTCTAACATGCAAGTTGAGGCTTTTGAGGATGTGACCACAGAGATCACCTCTGCTTGGCTCACAGCCATGAATTTATTAAGGCCCACTGCAGAGTCTAAGTGGGAAGTCACGTATGCCGCTTCAACCTGTCCACCACTAACAGCAGGAGCAACCTCCTCCAGCTTGTCACGGATGGATGTAATTTTATTATTAAAGAAGTGGAGAAAGTCGACACTGCTCAGTGAGCTTGGAATTTTAGGCTCGATTGCGCTATGGCAGTTTGTGAGTTTAGCGACGGTACCAAACAAAAATCTACTGTTGTTTTTATTCGCTTCTATTAAAGTTGAATAGTATTGAGTTCGAGCCCCGCGAAGGGCCTTCTTGTAGTTTCGGAGACCTGCTTTCCACTCCCTGTGGACAGGCTCCGAGTGGGAGTGGCGATATAGCCTCTCCAATTTTCTGACGTCCTGTTTTAAAGTGTGGAGTTGAACACTGTACCAGGGCGACGATGATCTAATCCTAATGGTTTTCTGTTTTAAAGGAGCTGCTGCATTTAATGCAGATTTTAAAGACTCCATAGTGTTGCCCACCGTTTGGTCAATGACTGAGGGACTGCAGCTGCTGTGAACAGGTTCACCTGCAGCAGTATTCAACATAGGCTGTATTAGTTCTTTGAACCTTGTGATAGATTTATCATTTAAGGTTCTTTTCATTATGGTTTTATCTTGCGGGACAGGAAAGTCCTCCAAAGCGAGATCAAACGTGATCAAGAAATGGTCAGACAGCAACGAGCTTTGACGCTGGATGTCAACATTGGAGACATCACAGCCGTAGGTCAGGACAAGGTCCAAGGTGTGGTTATGAATGTGAGTAGGTTCCTCGACATTCTGAGTAAAACCAACACCATCTAGTACGGCGCTGAAAGCTTTGTTTAAGCTGTCAGTGCTGTCGTCCACATGTATATTGAAGTCTCCAGCTATAACTATGTTTTCCCATTCCAAAACTAGGTTTGAAATGAAGTCAGAGAATTCTGTTAGGAACTCGCTGTAAGGACCAGGAGGTCGGTATAAAACTATAAATAGTACTGCTTTTTGTTTTCTCCACCCAGGACAGGTGATTGAAAGTGTTAAGTTTTCAAACGAGTGAAAAGCGTTGTTGGTTTTGGGACTAAGAACCAAGTTGGTGTGTGATATAATCGCAACACCACCGCCGCGACCTGTAGCTCTGGCTTTCTGGTAGTTAACATGCGTCGGAGGAGTGCACTCATTCAATCTAACGTACTCGTCCTGTTGGAGCCAAGTCTCCGAGAGCGCAAACAGATCCAAGCCCTTGTCTATAATAAGTTCGTTTATGAGAAGCGATTTAGACGAGATTGATCTGACGTTCATTAAACCACATTTAACAACCCTACTGTTAGAACTATTTCTGTCTGTCTGAACTTTTATTAAGTTACTGTGTCTGACACCTAGGTCAGATTTCCTCGCATATAGTGCTTTAGACTTCAAGCGGGGAACACACACAGTTTCAATCTGACTAGGTTCTGAGGCTAGTAACTGAGCACACACAGGCACACACACACATGCACACACAGTTTCAATCTGACTAGCTTCTGAGGCTAGTAACTGAACAGATGGGGGCTCAGAGGTTGTGGCAGAGCAGCTCTGCACCCGGGCCTCAGTTCTGCATCGTCATTTGAGCCGAGCAGAACAGTTTAGAGCCAGGGCCAAATTCTTAGCCAAAAGGGAT